AAAATTACAGCTAGGCATTGGTGGCTCATTCCTGTAACTAGCTTACTCAGGAGACTGAGATCAGAGGATCACAGTTCAAAGCTAGCCCATGCAAGAAATTCTTATTTCCAATTAACTACCAAGAAAAGCTGAAAGTGGAGCTTTATCCAATCAAGCTCAGGAACAACATCCAGGCCATGAGTTCAAGTCTCAGGACACACCAACACACACAAATAAATTCATGTTTAATAGTTTATTAGTCATATTAAGCTCCTCCTTTGTCCTATCTTTTCTTGTCCCCCCAACCTTAACTCAACAGCTTTTAGTAAGTTTCCTTATACCATCTTTATACATGATAATATTTCATGATGGTTTATCCTCCTTCATTCTCTTTCCTTTGTTCCTTTATTCCCCCCAGACAGTCTCACAGTTAAAATTATGATTTTTATATATGTGTATTTATAACTATATAGTGTATTTATATACATATAAATAATGTATATAAAGTATATATATATGAAGTATATAAAGTGTATTTATAAGTAAATATGCATATAGGTATATCTTTTAGTCAAGTATTTTTAAAGAATATTATAAATTTAGATTCTTGAAATAGAATACCCTTCCTATTATGTATCAACCCATTTACCAGAGATAAATAGATCTTTCTTAAATCTTTTAACATAGAGTTTTCTGTGATCCTTGGTATGATATGGGCTGATAATAACAGGCAATTGCTATTTTGTGAAAACTGAGATAGAGAAAGTAGTTTCCACAAGATCATCTGACTACTTCACCTGTGCTATTAACAAAAGTACTTGTCAAATTTCATGACTATATGAAGTATTTTATTATACTGTTTAAGAGTTTGGATTCTTTTTTTTTTTTACATTTCTTTTTTTTATTTATTTATTTTTATTTTTTTTTGTTTACCCTTCCCGTCCTCCCTCCCTCCCCCCCACCCAATCCTCCCCCCCACCAAGTTGTAAAGTTCTTTTCGACATGACAACTTGTACTTCTCATTGTTGCAACAGGTCCACTTGTATCCTTATTTAAATGACTTGTTTTTCCCCTTCCCCTCCACAGATTATACCAACATCAAATACAGTGAAAGCAGGGGCTATACTGTGGGGGAGGGACATACAAAGCAACAAAGAAAAAAATCTTATAATTGCGTTAGAAACAAATGCATGAAAGAAAAAAACATTTAAAATACATATCTTAGGGTTCATTTTCCTAACATCACCTTATCTGACCTTTTCTGCTTGACTCATACATATACTAGATATTGCAAATAAGGGAAATCATGGGACCTATGTTTCTTTGGGCTTGGCTTACTTCACTTAATATAATTTTGTCCAAGTCTTTCCATTTCCTAACAAATGGGGTAATGTCATTCTTTCTGATGAAGGTATAGAATTCCATTGTGTATGTATACCACATTTTCTTGATCCATTCATCTACTGAGGGACATCTGGGTTGGTTCCAGATCTTAGCTATAGTAAATGCTGCAATAAACATAGTTGTGCTGGTAGCTTTAGTGTGGTCTTGTTTGTAAACATTTGGATAAATGCCCAAAAGTGAGATTGCTGGGTCATAGGGGAGCTCTATGTGGAGTCTTTTGAGGAACCTCCATACTACTTTCCAAAGTGGTTGAACAAGTTTACACTCCCACCAACAATGAAGTAAGGTTAAGAGTTTGGATTCTTGAGAGAAAAGGACTTGAGTTTGTATTGTACCCAAAAATATATACTGTTGCATGTCATTTAAACAAACAAATAAGGCTGGGTGCCGGTAGCTTACGTCTGTAATTCTAGCTAGTCAGGAAGCTGAGATCTGTGGATCCTGGTTCAAAGCCAACCCAGGAAGGAAAGTCCATGCTACTCTTATCTCCAATAAACCACCAGAAAACCAGAAGTGGTACTGTGGCTCAAGTGATAGAGCACTAGCCTTGAGTTGAAGAGCTGGGGGACAGTGCCCAGGCCCAGAATTGAAGTCCCACGATGGACTCACACACACACACACAGAACACAAGACAAACAAAAGAAAGCCACCTGAGTTTGAATCCCATCTTCACTAGTGACTAAAGAGTTCTGCAAGCTACATAGAGCATCTTACACTGAATGCAGTTGGCTGTGGAGGCTCATACATGTACCCATTACTCAAGAGGCTGAATCAGGAGGATCATGAGTTTGAGGTCAGCCTGGGATACATGGTAAGACAAGGTTTCACCTTTCTTTCCCTTAAAAAAACAATATTCCAAACAATATGACACTACTTTCTTTCATATACATTTTCTTTTATGTTTGTAGTAGGAATGTTAGCTCTAAAGCCTCGTTTACATACTCATTTTGAATCAGTGTCTTAAATTTTAGGTCTAGATGGAAATTTTTAAAGAGTATTGGGGGTAGGATGAAATAATGGAAGACAAATCCCTTTATAGACTATTTCAAAATATGAAAGAGGCATAAAGTGTTTTTCATGAAGCATGGAGTATTAAAAATGAAGTTATTTTTTCTACTATAAAACCCTGTGTTCTTACAGAAAATTGGAAATATATGTGATTAGCTTACTTTGCTTCCACCTAAAGATGTTTCATTTCCTTGTAGTGTTAGAGATTCTGTCTTTCTTATAATACAAATAGATTATTTTAGAATATTTAATGATCCTGGGTGGAAGATTCCAGAATAGGAGTTTAATAAAAAGGAATACTGTCACTTAATGTCTTTTTCTTCTGGTTTCAATTCTCCCAATGATTCAGGCACTTCTTTATCAGTTTTAATGATATAGAAAACTATCTCTCACTTAACTAGGCAACATAAACGATCATTTTATAGCTTCCTTTAAGTCTTGATTTTTGGGAAGGAGGGAATACTCATGCTTTTTAAAATCTCTTCACAACAGGTTCTGTGTTAGGAGCCAGGAGACAGGCTTAGCATGAATTAATGTGAAAAGTTAGCTGAGTGCCTTAAGTTGTCCTAACTTTTGTGTGAGTCCAGCAATATGCAGTGGCAGTCAGAAATGCTAATCCAAACTGAGGCTTTACCAAGGACAGAGCTGAGGATGTTTTCTTGCTATGTGTCATGCATCTAGATCATGTTCATCACATTGCATTCACTATTGACAATGTAGTAGCAGGCAACTAGGACAGCAGTGGGTCAGCAAGCCAGTAGTGTTGCTTCATAGGTGTACTAGGAATAGCTGAAAGGAATCTACCTATGAAAGTACAAGTAAACACAACGTGATTCTGAATAACACAAGTATAGATCTTGGAAAACAATAAGAGGTGTCTTCTCTTTCACATCTTTTAAAGGTGTATATGCAAGTACACATGGAAAATTTATTTCTCTTTGGCTTAATATGAATGTTTATATATTAATACAGATATGTGCATATATACATACACATCATACATATGTAGATAATCTAATAACAAAGTGGACTTTAGAAGGGAATATGTTTCTGGCTAATACAAGGAACACATTTCTAGTCATTGTATTGTAAGCTGAAGCTGGATGCATTCCTTCCAAGAGATGCTGTGAGATACTTTTCCTCATTGGATTTCTCTACTCATTTATCCCCACCTCTCCACTACTTATGTGTGTGTGCGTACACATGCGTGTATGCTAGTATTATTGGGGCTTGAATTTAGGGCCTGTCTCAGCTTCTTATTTGGTTGTTTTGCCAGTCCTAGGACTTGAACTCAGGGCCTAGGTGCTGTCTCAGAGCTTATTTTGCTCAAGTCTAGAGCTCTACTATTTGAGCCACAGTGCCACGGCTGTCTTTTTCTGAGTAGTTTACTGCAAATAAGTGTCTCAAGGACTTTTTGGCTTTGAACCTCTATCCTCAGATCTCAGCTTCCTGAGTAGATAGGATTACAGGCCAGCAGTGTCCAGATGTCTCAGCTTTTTTGCTCAAGGCTGTCACTACCAGTTGAACCAGAGCTCCACTTTGTTTTTTTGCTGGTTCATCATTGATAAGAGTTGCACAGACTTTTTTGTGTGGGCTGGCTTTGAACTACAAACCTCAGATCTCAGCCTCCTGAGAAGCTAGAATTGCAGGCATGATCTTCAACATTGGCTTCAATTATTTCTGAGCTATTAGCCTAGTACTGAAAGATAAATATAGTAGGCAAGATATATGATTGACACATTCCAATGAGTATGTGTTTGTGTGTGTGTGTTGGTTGTGGGGCTTGAACTCTGGGCCTGTGTGTGTGTGTGTGTGTGTTGGTTGTGGGGCTTGAACTCTGGGCCTGGGCGCTGTCCTTGTGCTCTTCAGCTCAAGGTGAGTGCTCTACCTCTTGAGCCACAGCGCCACTTCCAATTTTCTAATGGTTTATTGGAGATCATAGTCTCACAGACTTTTCTGCCTGGGCTGGCTTTGAACTATGATCTTCAGATCTCAGCCTCCTGAGTAGCTAGGATTATAGGCATGAGCCACCTGCGCCCGGCTCCAATGTGTTATTATTGTATTTCTTCGGTGAAGGTTAGTATCTGAATGTAGATATCAATATCATGTAGATAGCAATATTTTATTTTCCCATCTTTAACATAAAGGATGAAATAGGGTGAGGAAAAAGCTTTTGATGACAAAATGCTGATTTTTTAATGAAAATATTTAATTCTAGGTTGACTTACTGACTTTTAAGGATTTAGGATTTATCAGAAAGTATCATGAGAGAACACATGCTTTTAAGTGTAAGAAGATTTTAAAAAATATTCTGGAAAGTTTATTTCATTTAGGGCATATATGAAAGAGTCAGAGAAAGAGAAAGCTATTCACTTATTTTTACTGAGGGAAGTTATTATTTGTGTTTGCTAAGACACTGATTCTGACATCAGCATTTGTACCTTGACCATTTATCTGGGTTAATTCTCCTTTTACTTCGAGAGATCAGATAGTACCAGGAGAAAATGGAAGTTCCAAGAACAAAGTGTGCAGATTTGGAGGTGATTCTGGAGTCCCTGTACATTTTGGCCTATCAAGTAAGACCAGCTGTTCATTTGTTTCCTATCCAGGTTTGGAATTCATCCAGTTGCAGGCCGAATGCCTGGTCAGCTTAATGTGCTTCTGGCGGAGGCTGGAGTGCCGTATGATATTGTGCTGGAAATGGATGAGATCAACAGCGATTTCCCAGGTAAGTGATGGGCTCAGTGTTGAAGTTTAAATGCTCTTAGTGTACATAAAGTGATGCCACAAACTTCAAATATAAATTGTGGGATTATTGAAGACTGACTAGTGAGATGAAGAGTGGTCTGCATAAAGTGGATGTATAATAAAACCTAAGTGAAAGGCAGTACTGAATAAGTGCAGTAAGTGCAAAAGTTTGTAAGCTGCATTGGTTACATTTTGTTCCTCCTTCAACAACTGAAGGATGGTTAAAGTCCTGCTGTGTAGAGCACAGAAGAATCTGAGACCTGGGCAGACCATTAAGTATTAATGGTGACCTTGCAATAGATACCATAGGCTCCTCATTATCAACATGCTTCTGTTGACACCTTAAATTCTTGCCAGTGTCTGAGATTTCACTGGTTTTCCGTTATCCAAGGAAGCAGTCCCCTCTGCTCCCCTTCATTCTCTTCGATTCTTCTCTTTTGGTTTTTTTTTCCTGTCTCTTTGTTCTTATAGAAGGACATTAGGAGATAAGGTGCTGTCGTTTGTAACTGTCATTGCGTAGATGTTGAATAGTGGTGCTATTTGGACTAAGATCATGTTTATGAAAATTAGACTTGTTGTCTCTGGCAAGTATCCACTGTAAACTTAAAATGTTATTAGAAAAAAATAATGACATGTGTGTATGTGTAGATGCACATGACATTTTTGGCAATATCCTAAGGCAGTTTAAATGATACTCCTTAAAGAGAAAATTTAGACCATTTTAATTTTATGCCTCTTTTTAAATTTAACTGTGGTTAAATTATGTGTAAAAGCTACAAGTTCCATGAATTATGGACACAGCTTTAATATAGTGCAGCCTTTCAGACCTTTGTCTCTTAGACACAAAATTGAGTCTTAATTGGTCATTTTAAAAGCTGAAAATGTATACAGATTTTATAAAATCATATGAATAGCAAGATAATTTGGGTATAATAAAAGAATTACAAAGTCAGATTAGGTAGAACCATTGGGAGGGGAAAAGTACAGTGAAGCAGGTTCTAGTCTAGATGGTCTGTTTCAAGGCAGAACTTACTTCTGTGTTTTAGGTGTGTGATATTGTCTGAGTTGACCAGCTGTAAATATCCTGGTACAGTGAGCCTCTCATAAATGCTAGCTTTTATAAAGATCACTATAATTTGCCTGAAAAGAAGTGACTCTTTTGCATTTTCTATTTTTGTTAATGTAGACACTGATTTGGTCCTGGTAATTGGAGCTAATGACACTGTTAATTCAGCAGCCCAAGAAGATCCCAACTCTATTATCGCAGGCATGCCAGTCCTTGAGGTTTGGAAATCAAAGCAGGTAAGTTTCAGACTTGCACTTTATTCTGCTGATGGTAAGTTAAGGAAATAATGTCTCCATAAGCTTCTTTGGTCACTGGATAAGAAGTGATTATGCCTTTTAGGAGTCCCAGAATTAAGAAACTAGGCCTAATTTCTGGTGTCCAGCTTCTGTCTGTTCTCTGGCCACCGAATGATTGCCTTGTCATGAGTAGAACCAGATGAGTTTATGTGGATAAATGAACAAAAATCCGTAACCACAGTTGAAAGAAGAGCTGTGAGCTTTTGGAATGACTCTGGATACATACCAGATCAAGTCCAGTACAGCAGATGGCTTTCCTCTGGGACAGTGAGTCAGTATCATCGCCTCCATATACCAAGATGAGCACATTTTTTTCATTAATTTTTTTTGAAAGGGAATTTGTATGTTGTTATGGAGTGTCTAGCAGAAAGGTGTTTTAGAAATCCAAACAATAACATGGAATAAAGAAGGTGGTTTTACTCATACATATTGCTTCTGACAAAAGCTAATTGCTAAATGTTAGAGAACACAAAAGCTTGTGTTCCTCTGCCACAGCAGAGTGTATCTATTTACCGTTTTTGAGTCCTGTGTGTGTTCTTCATTTTGTTTCTTTTTTGTTGTGCATACATGATTTTAAAACTTAGTATTTGAAATGAGTCAGTAGATATGGAATATATGTGTTCATGTACATATGTAATATTACTGCATTAGTAGTCAATATTTGAGAGTACACAGAGAATATTGCTGTATTAATGGTATATAACGTATGAATAAATTTGCAGTGCTTCTATTTTTGAGTAGGTTACATATCCTAGAAGAGCACAAGAAGGCTTTTAGTCTTGTTAAGAGTGACTTGACATTCAGCAGGACAGCAAGATCCATAATGTGTTTCAGTATTTTAGAGTCATTTACCCCTTTCAGTGTACATTTTAGAGTATCCTGTCAGTTTTTTGTTCTGTCCTTGATTACTTTTTGGACTTTTTTCCTAGGACTTCTTTTTATTCTTTATGCCAAAGTGATAGAAAAGACTCAGAATTTCCCTACTCAATCACATTTATTTTAGAAATTGTAAATGGGAGCTTAAGCATTCAATTTGTTCTCTTCACTTATGTGTGGAAAGGTAAATAAACTAAAGGTACTATTTTTTCCTGGTTAGAAAAGTTTATTCATAGTTGCTCTAGAATGAAGCACAAGGAAGAAAATCAATGTAATTTAATTACTTGGAGATAGCCTATTATTAACATGTAATTTTTTTAATGGGTATGAGAGTATGCTCATACTTAAAAAACTAACATTAACACAATCAATGTAAACATACATTTAAAAACATTCCTACTGTATTTTTTTTTTTTTTTTGTCGGCCATGGGGCTTGGACTCTGGGCTTGGCGCTTTCTCTCAGCTCTTCAGCTCAACGCAAGCACTCTACCATTTGAGCCACAACACTACTTCTACTTCCAATATTCTGGTGGTTTATTGGAGATAAGAGTCTCACTGACTTTCCTGCCTGGGGTGGCTTTGAACCGTGATCCTCAGATCTCAGCTGCTAGGATTATAGGCATGAACCATTGGCGCCCAGCATTCCTTGTGTATTTTGTTGCTGGACTGAAGAATTAGAATTGTTAGAGCCTTGTATTCACAGTTAGGGAAGAAGTTGTTGTGTGCTGTTTCATAGTTAGGTATTAGTGCTGGTATTCTACCACTTAAACCATGCTTCCAGACCTGTATGTACTGAATACGTCAAAAAGCTGGAAAGAAGAGCTTGCTTTTTTTTTTTTTTTTTACTCTAAATAAATGATAAATGTTGGAGGAGGTAGGTATGCTTAACCTCATTTGAATATTACACAATGTATGCATGCATTGAAACATCATTTGTAGGCTATAGATATGAAGTTTTTTGTTTTCATATATTCTAAAAGTAAATTTAAAAGAAGTTTATATATGAAAACAACAGTGACAAGCAAAAAAACAAAGCTAGAGAAGGGCAATGTTTATATGACTCACAGATCCTGTGTCTCTCTTAATTTTTGGTTCTTAGGTCATTGTCATGAAGAGGTCTTTGGGTGTTGGTTATGCTGCTGTGGACAATCCGATCTTCTACAAACCCAACACAGCTATGCTTCTAGGTGATGCCAAGAAGACATGTGATGAGCTACAGGCAAAAGTTAGAGAATTCTGTAAGAAGTAAATGCTAAAAAGCCAAGCTGATGTCTGATGAAACAACTTCAGATGTAGGAACAGGCAGAGTGTCAGTGTGCATGGTAGATACACATCTGTAAGTAGCAAAGCTCCTGGGAGAAGATGAAGACTGAAGAGAGCCTAGAAAATTGAGGGAGATTTTTCGAGAGTAGAGATTTCTCTAAAGAAAAAAAAGAAAAAAAAGATGGAAAATTCTTAATGTATGTCTGTGCCATTTTTGTTGTTGTTAAGAAGCAAAAGAATTTTATAAAAGAAGAAAGAAAAGTCTCATTTTAGTTGTAATACAGTTGGATTTTTCAGTTCCTTTACAGGAACAAGAAATATTTTCACAACTTAAGTGTTTAGGATCGCAGTACTTAAATTATGCCCAGATCTGAAAAATATGACATGATTTAAACAAGTACCTACATTTATGTGTTTTCCAACAAATGTCATTAATTTGGAACTTCTACCAACTTTTGACTTGTCCTTTTGTATTTTAATGATAATTTGAACTGATAACAGTTTTTCAAACTATATTTTAGATCCAGATTTCAAAAGTGTATTTTCTTACTTCTATTTTAATCCGTAAAAGGATATGCTGGAAACAAATTATCTGCTTTACAGGTTCAAAGAAATATATAGACTGAAATGAATGCTGGTTGTATTTTTGAAAAACTCCTTTCTAATTCTAATCAATTTATAATGTAACCCTGTATTGAGGACACAAGTATATTCAGACATTTGACTAATAAAATAAGTTTATCATTTTTGCAAGTGATGTGGCAATTTTTTCTGGCGACAAAAAACTAAAACTGAATAGTTCTCCTCACTGCTAACATAATTGCTCACATAGTAATGAGTTTTAGGTCATTCCTGACCTACTACTATGAAATAGACGTCATTAATCTGTCTTAACTGTTTATAAGAGTGGATTTTTTTAAACCACAACATATTTTGAGGTCTTATGTAATTTGATGACATTTGAAAGCAATCATACTTTTTAGGCTACCTCTTTGTTTATCTAAGTGCCAGTAAAGATCTCGTGTTTTTGTAGAAGTGTGGCTTATCTATTTTGCCAAAAGCTCTGACTTTAGGTGAATATGAAGTATATTTGTCAGTTTTCTACTAAATTTCTCAGAAACACTTTACTCATTAAAATACTGTCTCTAAATCAGAAAAATAACAGTAAAAATTTCTTATTCTAATGCTTAGTACTTTTTAGTTTTGTAAATAATTTATGTTTTGTTGTGTCTGAGATTAAGGATCGTGTGTGTGTGTGTGTGTGTGTGTGTGTGTGTGTGTAAGAAGGAAAGATTATTTTTAAAACTTTAAGTTGGAAATGTAATTTGTTAATTGAGCTGAGGTCAGCAGAACCTCATAACTGAAGCTTATCATGAAAATTCAGAAGAATTAGAAGAAAAACAGTATCTCCTCCACTCATATCCTGTCCCTTCTTTTTTTTTTTTTTTTTTTATTGGTTGTGGGGCCTGAACTCTGGGCCTGGGCGCTGTCCTTCAGCTCTTCAGCTCAAGGCAAGCGCTCTACCACTTGAGCTACAGCACCACTTCCGGTTTTCTGGTGGTTTATTGGAGATAGGAGTCTCACAGTCTCTCCTGCCCGGGCTGGCTTTGAACCATGATCCTCAGATCTCAGCCTCCTGAGTAGCTAGGATTACAGGCGTGAGCTACCAGCTCCCGGCTTCCTGTCCCTTCTTTTAACCAAAGGTTGTAGGTATATCTAGGAAGTAGCAATTTGACTTAAAAATAGTTTTTGAATTCAACTTATATATATTTTATATATATATATATATTTTTTTTTTTTTTTTTTGACGGTCATGGGGCTGGAACTCTGGGCCTGAACATTGTCCCTCAGCTCTTCAGCTCAAGGCTAGCACTCTACCACTTGAGCCACTGCACCACTTCCGGTTTCTGAGTGGTTTATTGGCGACAAGAGTCTCACAGACTTTTCTTCCCCGGGCTGGCTTTGAACCTCGATCCTCAGATCACGTAGCTAGGATTACAGGTGTGAGCTATCTGCGCCGTTTCAACTTATATTTAAGTATATTAGAAGAGAGATTTCTGCCTTCCTTCCCCTGGATGCCATTTGATAAGACCTGGAAACATTTTTGGTTGTCTCAGCTGGGAGGAGCTATTGGTAGTGGCTGAACAGAGGTCAGTGTTTCACAATGTGGTAGACAGTACTCAGTCACAAAGAGTGATCAGTAGCACCAAGGTTGAGAAACCTTGGTCTGCTCTATTGTTTTAGTCCATCTTCTTTCTTGGTGGTTTAAATACCACTTACATTGTCTAAAGCATGGATTGTAGCTTCAGGCACACAGTGTGTTTTCATAATCTTTTATAGATCATTTGATTAATCAGATGTTGAAGCAGTATTTTCCCAAAGCCCTGGGAAGTGGGGACAGTCATCACTTTGTTTTCCCTTGAGTCTGTAACGGTTGACCAAAGTCTGTTGGCTTTGAGAGGGGCTGTCAGCAGCAGAGGAAAGGTCTTTGAAAATGACTGTATTAACTCAATGTTTTTTTCAGAGCCACAAATAAGGAAAAATGAAACAGACCTGGGAACAGACCTGGAGTGGCCTTCTGTGCTCTCATTGGCCATTGAGTATCCAGATGAGCCGATGACTTCACGGGGGTGGATGGTTCAGTGAGATCTGGCTTCTTCACCCAGACAAAAGCCCGTACATGAAGGACAAACAAGACCATGTGGTTTGGGGATAATCCTGAAGGCAGTGCCTTCCAGAAATATGCTGAGACCCCTGATTGGGCTCTAGCTGCTGCTCCTGTTTTTAGAATCCCAGTAGAGATAAACAAACGTAAAAACAATAAAACCTGAAGCTGGACATGGTAGTATGCTCCTGTAGTATCAGCACTAAGGAAGCTGAGACAGAAAGATTGGGAGTTCAAGGCCAGCTTGGACTAAGTAGATAGATTCTGTCTCGAAAAATTAAAAATTATACGTATGTATTTTTTCAGTATGATCTACTGGACAATTCTTTTTTTTTTTTAAATAAGTTTTTTATTGTGAAAATACCACCTCCACAACTACATTCCCCTCCTCCCCACCCCCAACTAAATTGTAAAGTTCATTTTTCGACATAACGTCTTGTACATCTCATTGTTGCAATGGCTCCACCTGTATTCCTATTTAAACAATTTGTTTATTCCCTTCCCCTCCCCAAATTATACCAACATCAAATACAGTGAAAACGGGTTATACCATGGGGGAGGGACATACAAAGCAACAAAAAATCACATGGTACTTTATAAATACGTTAGAAACAATAGCAAGCAAGAAAAAAATATTTGTGTCCCTATCTTGGGGTTCATTTCACTTAACATCATCTTTTTTTTTCTTTTTTTTAAAATTATTGTGAAAATACTGTACAGAGGTGTTACAATTACATGGGCAAGGTAATGAGTACATTTCTTATCAAGCATTGTAGCCTCCTCCTTTGTTTCCCCTTCCCATCCCATCCTCCTCCACCCCCACCCAACCCTCCCCCCCCCCCCCAAAGTTGTAAAGTTAGTTTTCAACATAAGGACTTGTATGTCTCATTGTTGCAATGGGTCCACCTGTATCCCTATTTAAACTATTTGTTTTTTCCCTTCCCCTCCACAAATTGTAACAACATCAAATACAGGGAAAGCAGGGGTTATACTGTGAGGGAGGGACATACAAAGCAACAAAGAAATCATCTTATAAATACGTTAGAAATAATCGCATGAAAGCAAAAAACATTTGAATGCATATCTTAGGGTTCATTTCCCTAACATCAACGTATCTGACCTTTTCTGCTTGACTCAGACATATATTGGTTATTGCAAATAAGGGAAACCATGGGACCTATGTTTCTTTGGGCCTGGCTTACTTCACTTAATATAATTTTTTCTAAGTCTCTCCATTTCCTAACAAATGGGGCAATGTCATTCTTTCTGATGGAAGCATAGAATTTCATTGTGTATATATGCCACATTTTCTTGATCCATTCATCTACTGAGGTTGAATCTGGGTTGATTCCATATCTTAGCTATGGTAAATAATGCTGCAATAAACATGGTTGTGCTGATAGCTTTAGTATGGCCTTGTTTGTGATTGGGTAAATGCCCAAAAGTGGGATTGCTGGGTCATAAGGGAGCTCTATGTGGGAGTCTTTTGAGGAACCTCCATCCTACTTTACAAAGTGGTTGAACAAGTTTACACTCCCACCAACAATGCAGTAGGATTCCCTTCTGTCCACATCCTCTCCAGCATCAGTTGTTATTAGAGTTCTTGATTATAGCCATTCTAACTGGGATGAGGTGGAATCTCAATGTTGTTTTGATTTGCATTTCTTTTATGGCTAGGGAGGTTGAGCATTTCTTCATGTGTCTATTGGCCATTCTTATTTCCTCTTCAGAGAAGTTTCTCTTTAAGTCTTTAGCCTACTTATTTATTGGGCAGTTGTCTCTTTTGAGGATTTGTTGTTGGAGGATTTAATGTTTTGAGTTCCAGGTATATTTTAGATATGAATCCCTTGTCCTTTGTATGGCTAGTGAAGATCTCCCAATCCGTGGCTTTCTATTGATCTTGCTAGCTATGTCCTTTGCCATGCAGAAGCTCTGAAGCTTCATGCAATGCATTTGTCCAACCTTTCTTTGATTTGTTGTGTTTCTCGGTCTCCATTAAGAAAATTTTGGCCTGCTCCAAGGAGACCTAGGGTTTCTCCTATCCCCCCCTGTAATGTTTTCAGGGTGTCTGCTTTGACTCCGAGATCTTTGATTCATTTGGAGTTGATTCTGGTGCAGGGTGATATATAAGGATCTAGTTTTCTACAAGTGATTAACCAATTTAGCCAGCACCATTTACTGAAGAGGTTGTCTTTCTTCTATTCTGTTTTTTTTTTTAGCTCCCTTATCGAAGATTAGGTGGCTATAGGTCTGTGGGTTCATTTCTGGGTTTTCAATTCTATTCTATTGGTCCTGAGTTCTGTTCTTTTGCCAGTACCAAGCTGTTTTGAT